AGTAAATAGTACAGTATCTGTAGGTTCTTCATTACAAGGCTTAGGCCAAAGGTAATTAATGCTGAAATTATTATTATTATTATTATTATTATTATTATTATTATTATTATTATTATTATTATTATTATTATTTAAAATTAATTACATTACAATGGTAGTTTGGAAAAGTTCAATAACGCCGGAATGGTATATTATTTATTTAATAATATTTCTCTTATGCGCTCTATTTTTCATTTCATGCTTCAATTTTGTCCCATTTTTCCCCCAAAATTTCAGTCCATGTCAGTATGTGAAGCCTGACTGTTGTGTCAGCCTATGACCCTAGGTTTAGTTTAAGGAGGGGCCTAGGTAAGACCTCAGCCTGTAGTTAGGCCTATAGTTTATCCTCTTTCTCTCTAGCCTTTGGTATAACTGTACCTATCTACACTTTATAACAGGAGGTACTAGCTGTTGTTGTCGATAATATAGTAACATTTAATGACATCCAAGAAGGTCACAGTTAGTTACACAGTGACGTACATCACATAAGTCCGTGAAATTTCATAGGCCTACCGCAGGTAAACATTGAAAGAGCAATAATAGTAAAACTCGGGCGTCACGACATTGCGAAGTGTCTGCTCTTGTTCCTCGTATCGTACTCACTCGAGTCAATCCGAGATGGCCCGAGTGAAGTTTCATGCAAATGTTTCGTACGGAAAAAAAAATTCGCGTACGGGCCTGAGTGTGAAAAATCGGCATCCCTAAAAGCGGTCTCTTCTGTTTTTCATCTAGCAAATCGCAGGACCAACAGGAAACATTTTCCTGGATGACGTGAAACCATCGCACGGCCCAACACTGAAGTACTCTGGCATCAACTGAACCACAGCCTTTCACACTACATCAAGGCAGTAACTGCTAAAGCCCACTTGCATTTAAATTTTCTCACAAGACCTACAGTGGCTGACTGGACACATCAATAATAGCCTCTGCTGCTAAATATGTCTGGATCCATGATATGCACTCCCACAAGGTTGACGTCATCCAGAATGATGTAGTAAGATTCGTCAGCGGGTTCCTACTGGCAAACCTTTGGACAATCTGCAAATCCTATCCGGCATAGTAAATGCTGAGATGAGGAGAAAACCTCCAGATTATGAAGCCAAAAATTCTGGATCAACTTGAAAACTCTAAACTGGTGGTGGTCGTCAAGCATTGCTTGTATAGAATCGTACAAACGGACAACAAACAACTTTCCTTTTAAATTTTTCTTTTCTTTCTTTTCTTTTACATTTTCTTTTCCTTCTTTTATATTTCCAATTCTTCCATTCCATTTCTTTCTTTTCATTTCCTTTTCCCTTTTTCCCCTTTTTGTTTAGCTTTCCTTTCTTTTTCTTTCTTTTATCTTTCTTTTACTTACTTTTCCTTTTCCTTTCTTTTTTCTTTTCCTTTTTTCCGTCATTCATTTTCTTTTTCCTTTTCTTTTAACTTCTTTTTCTTTCTCTACCTTTTAATTTTCTTTTGATTCTTTTAACTTTCTATTCCTTTCCTTTCCATTCCTTTTCACTTCCTTTTTCCCTTCTTTTTCTTCTTTAACTCTTCATTTCTTTTTCATTTTCCTCCTGTCTTCCTATTCCTTTCCTTTCTTTTCCTTTCTAATTCATCATTCCTTTCTCTTTGATTCATTTTTTCAATTCTTTTTAAATTTTCGTTTCCTTACCGTTTTTATCTTTTCCTTTCCTTTACATTCCTGTACAATTCTTTCTTTCCATTACATTTCCTTTTCTTACTCCTTTCTTTACCTTCTTCTTCTCTTTACATCTGTTCAATGCGCTTTACATAAGGATTAAAAAATATGCAACATTATAGAATGATATTACAAAAATATTATTAGATAGACTAAAATCATATACTTATTATTAATTGCGTCATTAAAATATTTAAAATTTGAAAATTCACTATCAACGAAATATGGTATCAAAAAAATCAAGATTGATTCATTCGTAATGCATAAAAAAAACCAGAAAACAAACCGTCTCCTGACCAATGCGTTCTTAATGGTGATTGAGGTGTATTTCGGTCAATAGAAAACAATTCAGGTGCGTTTTCATGAATCAATTGAAACCCACTGGGGTGTAGTAACTTTGTGTGAACAGTCTTTAACAGGTAGGTCTTTGAGCATACAGTATCGGTTTGAACAGTCTTTAACAGGTACGTCTTTGAGCATACAGTATCGTTTTGAACAGTCTTTAACAGGTACGTCTTTGAGCATACAGTATCGTTGGATCATGAAGAAATGGATAAAATAGTATATGTCTTTTTTGTTTTGGTTATCATAGCCTTGATTACTATGCTTATATCTTCGAAGTGTGTATTTCTCCTTTACTCGGATTCTAAGGTAAGGATTGCCAATTTTACTTCTTTATCAATCATGTGTTACTACTATTTTTTTTTTCAAAGCTTTTGGAACTTATATGGCGGCTAGTGGAAGGACGAGGTCTAATGAGTATTTGGTAAGGGTGTAGTCAGTGGTGGCGCCAGGACCTGCCCGACGGAGGGGCTAAAGGCCCCGGCGGGAGGGGGGCGCAGTGGAGCGAATCGAGTCTCACTTGGCTGGGGGCCGCCTAGGGCCCCCGGTGGGTATTTGATGAATTATGGCGATTTTTTATTACTTATTTGATAGGCATCGAGTTACTATAATATGACTTCATGTAGGCTATGCTTTCTAATGTTGAAATCAGCTTCTAAAACCAAAACATTTTGAATAAAGTAAGAAACAAATAATATGCAATGTAACCATCTAATTTATTTTCAAATCCTCATTTTCAAAGCGAAATTCTATATTTTGGAAATTTTGCATTAAATCTGTCAACCACGCTGTCATGGTCGAGGTTGCTTCAGCTTAAAACTTGGGTCCATGAGGCTATCTAAATGAGCATTTGTCATAACAGAACGCAAATTATTTTTAATTAGTCTCATTGAATTATTATTATTATTATTATTATTATTATTATTATTATTATTATTATTATTATTATTGTTATTGTTGTTGTTATGATAAAAAGTTAACACAAACAATATGGTGGCTAAACGAATATTACATGCAAATATTTTTTTTTATTTGTTTGTTCCCCAACAAAATATATCGTCTTCCCCGACGGGGGGGGGGCTAAGCTTCCCCGACGGGGTATAGCCCCAGCCCCCCCCCCCCTCTTTCGCCACCACTGGGTGTAGTCCAGGTCAGGGGTTCCAAGTTGTGAAATGGCATTAAAGCACCTAAACTACTGTATAAACCAAGCTTGCTTTTAATTTATTTTGTTTTCTGAAATTCATGTACAGTGTTTGTACTGTACTATCTCAAAAAGAAGCCTACGCTATCTTGAAAAGAAGCCTATGGTCTTCTTTTCGAGATGGGTTTCTTCTCGAGGCTACTTTTGAAAACTAAAAAGAGGGGCTTCAATTCGAGATGCGCTTTATCTCGAGATTAGGCCCACAGGCTTCGATTCGAGGTTTTCGGTATGCTTATGTATGCATAATAGACATTAGGTTATGTAATTTCATATACATATAGGTGTCAACCCATCGCTCTCATGTCCTGTCACCCCCCCCCCACCTACTTATAAGCTTGTGGTCCCCCACCCCACGACACAGTTATTAAAGATCACCTCATATTACATTTTTTTTTGCGAGCTACCCCCTTTCACATTCAATCATCGAGCCCGCCTTCCCCCATCCACTCAATTTTGACCCTGTCTCTTATACACATCTAGATGTGTATAAGAGACAGCCTCTGAATGGGATGCTGGTCCACTGCACGTCATTCCCAGAATTTTGCTGGTGCCCATTGATACAGCTAGGTAGACAGAAGCAATGTAGATAAATGCATATTTTGAATGAAATGTAGTAAAAATATAGAAATGAAACCTTCAAATTATAAGGTACTTAATACAATCTTAAAAAAAGATGATTTTTTTTTTTCTCACAAATACAATTTGCTGGCAATTTGATGATATGTTGTATTTATCGAAGAATGTCAGAACTGCTCGAACTGTTTTGAACGAAACTCTGAAAGAAACAATTCGGTCATGGAATAGTGCAGACGTCCTGTTATATGATCATCTCAACCGAACATTTTGGCGGCGAATTAGAGAATCTGGGGATTCATTTTATGAAGATTTGAAAAAATTCAGAAAGATGAAAATATTAGAGACAGAGAAATGTACAGACAGACGTTTTGACATGAAAAGAAATGGTCGTCAAAAAGTAGGCCTAAGACAGATAACAATGACACAAAACTTATTAGAAAATGAAAAAAGTAATTGTATAAATCTTTCACGGCATCTTAATAATTTCATGAAAATTATGGATGGCCGGAAATGAGCTTTCCCGACTTCTGGGGTGTCCTTTAATGACCTTTTAAGTTCTTCAAAATTCAGGGTTTTCCCTCTCTTGAAAAAGTTCAGGTAATTTTATCTCATTCTTAGGACTATACATAAAGAAAAAAAATAAATAAAAGACATATGTGACCCAAGACCACGAAAGGGCTGTAAACTCGCATCACCTGCAAGTTTCGAGAAAAAGGGCTAAATAGACAGTTTTTATTTTTTATTTATTTATTCATTCTGAAGTAATTATAAGTAAAAACATTAAAGGATAAAAACACAGAAAAGTACAAAAAGCAACTTATTTCCACTGTGGTCCCTAAAAAATAATTTTTACATCTTATTAATTTGATGCAGAGTATAGTAAAATAATATAGAGCTGCATCCACACTACTATTTTTTATTTGACAATTAAATTTGATATTCCCATATTTAGGTGTCATATCATCATAACCAATATACGGGCGTGATTGTGATGCCCATATGGCATGATATTGGCACATCACAACAATTTGTCAAAATTTGATAGTTCCCAGTACAACATGTAATTTGAGCAAAATGTGATTATGTCATAAATATAAAGTATTACCTTTAATCTTACTATTTTTGAAGTTTGGGTTCAATATTTCAACTCTAAACCCTAAAATTTTGTAATTTTATGTAGAAACGTAAATAAATTCACCAACTTTCAAGCCGCGCTGCTTCTAAACAACTTATTCACTAATAATAATAATAATAATAATAATAATAATAATAATAATAATAATAATAATAATAATAAAGATCTATAAAGCGCACATCTCCACCAAAGGTGCTCAAGGCGCATAGACAATTAAGCCAACAAGATCCAAATAATTCCCAGAAGAATAAGAATAATTCAAAAGATATGAAGCAGTTCATGTATTGTTTTGAAAAAAAATGTATGTAAATGTATACCTAAATGAAGGAAATAGCCTTGAATTAATTCAAATAATACTAAACTGTTTCATGACCTGTTGGAAAAGATTTGAAAAATAATCTTCTTGCCGTCTGGCAGTGAAGCGGATCAAAAATGATGTAGATTGCGGTTGAGTACGTGTGAAGAAACTAGTCGTGGTTATTGAAACTTTAAAAAAAATACTGACGCCAACAGAACAATCATCACAACTATTTTAAATATTAAATAGTGTACAAAATAGTCAAACAACTTTAAAGAATCAAACAATAACGTGCGTGTCGACATTACAATTGTTTTAGAAATATGTAATTTTCTAGAGCATAGCAAAGTAATTTTCTAGAGCAAAGCACCATGATACGGAAATGTTTGCCTTTAGTACGGTATCCAATTCTTCTGTAAAATTGTTTGCAGTTGATACTTAGCTTTGAGAGTTGTGGACTGAGTTGATGATATTTAGTCTCCACGAAGACATAAATGTCCTGTGCGAGTGGTCTCGAGAGTGAAATTTGTCCTTCAATAAACGACAAATGTAGGTCTAAAGTTTTTCACTATGGTAGAATCAATTCAAAATGTTCCTCCTTTATGTTTAATACTTAAATTCCATAGTTACCTTTGATGCTAGTCTCAACTCCAGAATGTTGCTGATGTGGATGTAAGAAAGCAAATAGACCTGTACCGTAATTGGGAATGATTATATCTGTCTATATTGAAATTTTATAAGTCTGTATAGACCAAATCCTAATTGTGGAATGTTATTTATAACATAATTTTTAAAAGAGATGAAGATAACTTAGAGAATGTACAGCAACGTGACTAAGATGTTTCTTGAGGTTAGGGATTTATCATAAGAGAGATCAGTTCTTTAATTGTCCATGGAATTGATGGGGTTTCAGCTGATTTATTTTTTTAAGAACTAGAGGATGATTCTAAAATCAAACATCAGTACTATAGAACACCACTAAGATGTCGTGTCTTTTCATTGGATTATCGGCTGTGGAATTATTCTTTGTCGAATGACGATGTTAATTAAAATTAAATAAACAAGTATAGGCCTATATGCAATTGGCAAGCGTTACTGACCACCAGTCTTATATTTGCACCATACATGAATTTTTTTTTTCAAAACCGGGGCCTCAAAGCCTCGCTTTGCTTGATCTCTATACCCAGGAGGATCAGACGAATCAAAGACTCTACTGGGATACAACTGTTAACAAGAAAAGGTACTACATTTTAGTAACTTTTTTTGCGAATTGGTTACTCACTGTACAAAAATGGCGCATTAGAATTTTTACTCAGACAATCGTCGGGAACCCCGCTCTGATTGGTAAAATATTTACCTGTGGAACTTTGTTGGTTGGTTTCATGTTATGTACATGTAGGCCTACATATACCTGTTAATACCTGATGAAATTCTAACAGGATCAACAGGAATTTTCTCCAGGGGAACCTTTATTTGATGTTCCATGGATTTATAAATGTACAATTTTACAAAGTAGGCCTAATTGAATTTCTCACACATTTATCCCATTAAAATATATCTTTTATTTTTATTATTGTAATTAGAGACCAAAACTGCTAAATACCATGATGGAAACATCGGTCTCAAAAGTGGTCTTAATTGGTGGGGGGACCTATATTTATTACAGTATTTAAAAAAATGAAATTAAATAAATCTAGAGCGCCCTCAACTACAAACAAGATCCAGGGACCGATCTGCATCCGCCGCCGTCGTCGTTTCGTGTTTTGTCGTTGTCCTCTGCACACAAAAAAATCAAATGTTTGTGTATAGGCCTAGGGCCTAGTCCTAGTTGTACGTGATTTGTAATCTTTGCTTGATAATTTGCATTTCCGTGCATCATTGGTTAATGTGGTTCATAAGAAATCTATGGAATGGCGGTATACTTCTACCACCGCCTAGACTCCAGCCTCGCCTAAATTTCAGAACAACCAAAATAACAGCGTTGTTTTGTTTTTTTATGGGGGCGCACTTAAGACCGTTCATTATGGCGTGGAGGTCCACAGGCACTACACACGAAGAACTGATTACAAAATTGAGACGTAAGATACTAAATAGTCCTAAGTTTAAACTATGGTTTAATATAGAATAACGTATATGTTCAGTTACTTATGTATGTTATGTTTATTTATTATGACAGTTGCATATGTGGGCGTTGTCAAATCCAAGTCCAGGGTCCCAGGGATCGGAGAGGGTAGGCCTGGCCTACTACTACTAGGCGTAATCTAATGCTGTAGCATTTGCTAGGTAGGAGCGGCGTAGTCTAAACAGGCGTAGGCCTAGGCCCCTAGCTGCTTCTACTAACCTAACCAGCAAGGGAGGCCTTTTAAGAGTTAGGATGTAGGTAGGCATTAGCTAGGTTTGATGGTTACTGTTGCCGGTTATAAAGCACCATCATAAGACTCACAAACCAGGCTGTTTATAAATACTGTACGCTGTTGCTAGAGATATGGTACTGTATCTTAACTTCTGTTTGCTAAAGGTATGGTAAATTGAATCATCCAATAAAATGCCACCACCAGCGTGATGACATCACTAAGAAATCGCTCGCTGTGATCCTGCTTTCCTGCTGAGATTTTATACAAAAGCGACATAGACAATGTCAAACTCACGGAGCACAAAACAAGTCCATAATTTTATATAGCAACTTGCTAAAAATGAGTACAGTTAATAAAATTAAAAATGCCATGACTACAGAACAATTAATGGCAATCTTCTATTGCATATTCCACAAAGTAAACCAAGCGATTGTTGGTACGTTAGTCACTCAAATATACATTATATCAGCGCATTGACATCTTGCTTACTTGCGCTATATAAGAATGAACTATTATTATTGTTATATTATACAGTACGTAACACCTTTACTGTACGATAGCCAAGACTGTAGTGTGTTAGATTTTGTATGAGAAAGGATGGTACAATTAATTTTACCTTTTCCTGATATAGTGTAACATTTGACCTGACCATTTATGTGATGAAAGATAATGCTCCAAACTTATAATTATATTATGTTATGAATAACAGTACTTATGTGTTAAGTTTTAGTTAAAATTAATTTACTATCTTCTGTTTGTTTTGTAAGTTTTTTTGTATTCTGGTTGCAGAATCACTAATATGAAGGGTGGCATTGATTCAAAAGTGAACCCAAGGTAGTTTAGCTCATTGAGAGGTAGTTTAGCTCAGTCGGCTAATCTGGTGGTAGTCACTGTGTGTGCGCTGAACCGTGGAGATCACTAGGTCCCCGGTTCAATTCCCATCGCTGCCTCTCCTTGTGTTTCAGCTAGAGGGCTGAAATACAAGTTACAATAGCGCACACGTCTTTCGGATGAGATGTTTAAGACGTTGGTCCCATGTGCATTTATGGCCCATGTGCACATTAAAGAACACAGTACACTCTTTGAAAAAGAGTAGGGGATTGTCTCCCGGTGTACTGTCCAATCACCACCAGAAGGACCCCACTGGAAATAAGTCTTCTTCTAGACTTTCGTGGGCTATCCTTGGTGTTTACACCGAATAAATCCAATCCAATCCAATCAAATAAAATTAAAATCAAAATCCAAGAAATGTAAATACACGCCATTATGTTGGGATTCACTATTTCGACATTTATTATCACATGTATTTAAAATTTTTTTTTTTTTTTTGAGCAGGGAGTTGTTAAATTACAACTCCCTACATGGAGTTATACTTTCACATCAGGTTCAATCAAATGTATATTTGCAAGATCGTGACACGGGATACATTAGTGCCATAATAGGATTAAATCATATTCAAGATAGATAAAAGTACTAAATGATACTTTACCAACTTCCTCTGCATTCAGCGAGCGATTTCACAAGTCTTTATGAACAATGATGTCACACCGTTGGCTGCATTTTATTGGATGATGCAATTTACCTTTCAAACAGAAGATAAGAAACGGTACTGTATGTCTAGCCATGTCGTTATAAATAAAATAGTCATCAGAATTGTTTTATGCTGTGGCTAGCATTCCGGTATTGTTTGGGCCTAAAGATCTGGCATTAGATTTTGACCAACCTTGAAGCATGTCAGCAGAGTGATGGACGTGTGCTGTGTACACAGTGGCGTAAAAACAAACCATTGGGCCCAGTTTGAGAATATGTTGGTGGCCCATGTCAGTATTTTTAATTGATTGAGGGGTGGATAATCTCCCTACCAAAAAAAAAGAATATTAAATCTAAAAAGTCTGCATTTTAGACGATGTCAATTTCATTTTTATAAATATATATAATTATATATTGAGTGAATATTCATCCATTGAATCAACTTAAATTTTCACACAGAATATTTGCTTAAATTGTCATTCATATTTTTTAGTATTTGAAAGTGTGTTTCATTTATGTCTTTAATAATCTACATAAGCTATGGAACAATGGTAAACAAGTACATGCTAGAAAAGGTTTTAGGAAAAAATGCTGTTATATTTACTGTAATAAAATGTAGGACCTAGAAAAAGTCTATTCGGTGCATGTAAACCATAAAAAATGTTATTGTTTCCTTCTTGATTAGAAAATGGAATCATCACAAATGATAAAGTGTTCAATGCAATGATGAAAGTCAACAGGATGTATTACTCAAAACACAACCCATTCAACGATTCTCCACAATCTATCGGTAAGTTAATTACTCATGGTCTTCAAAATCTTAGGCCTTGTTCTGATTGTACGTCATTGTTCAAGTCATTGTTCAATCTACTAGGTCGATTTGACCAAAAATATCTGGTGTGAACTGCCTGAGCATCATTTTCCTTTCTCCAAGCCGCACATCAAGTATAACCGAGTGAATGTTACGCAGAAAGAATAACCACATTTTTTCCCCCAAGCAAGTAGCGCTAATTGGTTAAATCTTCCTCGAGCGTGTGTTGTTGCTGTGCACACAAACTACTGTACTGTGTATTTTTTTTAATCCAAGTGTGAACAGCATTACAATTTGACCAAGGTAAAATGAAGCTTTATTATAGGCATGATGTGCCTATATATGGTCATGATGTGTCTATATATGGTCATGATGTGTCTATATACGGTCATGATGTGCCTATATGGTCATGATGTGATGTCATAATGACCATATACTGTATAAGCATCACATGATTTTTTTCAAATAAATTTGATAGTCTGGACAAGGATTTACCCTTAGTCTTTATCAAAAATGTTTCCAATGTGAACATGGCTTACAGTTAATTGAAAATATAGCATAAATCCCATTTAGTATGAAAACAAATAAATAATTCACTCCTGATAATCATCATATTCTTCAACAACATCATCATCATCTTTTACCCCATTGCATATCAGTATCTTGCACACATAAAATTTTTATAAATTTTTTTTTTTTTTTCAGGTTATGGTGTAACAATAAGTGCTCCTCACATGGTAAGTTAAAAACTAACCTCAACCAAGGTTTCTACTCTAAATGAAATTGATTTGTCATTTATTTTGACACACTCATGCTTTATAATATTAATATAAATGAAAATAATACTGTATCCAGCTTTTATGAAGTTTTAAGTCGCGTTAGTACTAACACTAGCATTTGGATTGTCAAAATCGGAATCAGATAAATTAGCCCCCTCCCCATTTCAAGACTTCTAGATACGCCACTGTTGAGCTAGCAGAAACATGTAAAATGTGCTCGCAATCATTAATGTTTACATCTGCTGAACCTTCATTGCCTTTTCATCATTGCCGAGTTATTTTGACTTTATGTCCAAGCTGATTACACTTCAGCAGGTGATATAGGCTTTCCATGTCGGCACACTTTGCTTTGATGTCCTGATTCATGACAGAAATTGCATTTGACGCTGAAAGAGTGTCTCTTTCTGCTTCGCTGATAGTCGGTCTTTGGTGGTGAAGTATGGTGATGAATTTCTTGATACCATTTAGTAGAGCTCCTGTTCCAAGGCTCATGACATGTAAATTTTCTAGTATCATACCTGTGGCAAACATATCCAAATGATCAATGAAATTTTAACTAAAAACTGCCTCACAGACACGTCTGTTTGTTTGCCAGTTATCTAATCTCGAACATATGCTTGAAATGTACACTTACCTGTGACCATAGGCTTCACTTGGTTTACAAATTCTTGTATGTCTGATTGAAACTGCCGTGAAGTGTAGTTGGTAGAACTACAATCGTTTGTGTCAACATGCATGATTACATTCTCGACATTGCAGAGGTCCATTCTCTTGATGTTGATTATAATATTTTGTAGTTGCACCTCTCATTGTACGGACAGAGGTGTTTATAAGCTCTTTTGTTTTGATTAATTTGAGCATTGAATCGCCAATAAGTATTTTTCTTTTATGGCTGTGGCTGGTGATGTCATAATTTGTTAAATTCCTACTTTATATTCTGAAAACTATTGTACCCAGGGCCCCTAGCTGTCTCTTATACACATCTAGATGTGTATAAGAGACAGCAGTCGGCTTGTCCACCTCTTATCTTTAACATCACACTCGATGTTTTCTACATAGGAAGGTATGTCGTCATCAACACTATCATAAAATACATCTTCAGTCGACTTTGACAAATGCACTGCACAGTTAATTTTGAATTCAAACAGTATCATTAATGATATTTTGAACTTCATGTAGTAGCCGAGATGTCTGATGCATGGCAAATTTTTTAGTTGGTGATGCATACGTCGGCGGTCGTTTTCTGCAAAAGCTACTTGTAATGACGCAAACTCTTGTTCAAGTTCATCATGGAATTCATTTAAACGTTTGATGACCGTTGTCACTCGACAGTGTGTTGGCTCCATCTGTAAGAAAAGATGTATTGGTATGCCAGAATTTATAAGTGATAAGTGTAGTGGATACAGGCCTATCAAAAACAAATCTGAAAACATACTTTAACTTACCTTTAAATGAAATTGGATCACATTTTTAATGTTTTATGCATTTGCTTATCAAAGTCTTGAAAAAAATATTTAGCGGTATGTTGCAATTATGGTGAATTGATTTAGACACTCTGTATAAAAAAATAAAAAAAGATGCCGGAATTTAGTTTATTTTTTAAGTGTAGTGGGTACAGGCCTAAGTGGTACAGGCCTATTAAAATCATTTCTGAAAATATACTTACCTGAAAATGTAATCCAACAGGTTTCATGAGTTGTATTGTGTTGGGTTTTATGTCTTGGCTTCATACCAAATCCTGAAGCAATATTTAGGGGTATGTTACAATTATTTTGCATTGATTTAGGCACTATAACAATATGACAAGAAGAAACTAAATGAAATAATATACCAGCAAGGCACAATTTAGTTTAAATGTGTACTGTCTATAAAAAGAATATTGAAAAGATACTTACCTGAAAATTAAATAGAATCCCCTTTTTCATATATTGTTTTGTATTCTTTCATACTAAATCCTGGAAAAAAAAAAATAGCAGCATGTTATGGTTCATTTAAAACCTGCATAGAAAACATATGACAAAGAGGAAATAAAAGGCTTCTCAGAATATCCCGGAAAATCCTGTCAGATACCTTAAAACCTACCAAAATATTTATAGCATCTGACTGGTACGTGAAAACTGATGGTACTGTATAAAAAAGTAGAAACTTGCCTCAGGCGTTTGTATCGGTCTGCGAAAAAGTGCCTGTGAACAGTTCCTTTATAAAGGGATGTGTACAGGTGATGGCATGTAATATGCATATAATGAGCGCTTCCAAAACAATGAATTGACATCAGTATAGTAGAAAGATTGTGTAGCGGATGAGCGTAAAAATGTGTTAATTTCAGAAAAGCTATATTTAAGGTAAAAAAATTGGCATTCTATGGTAGCAACATATGATTGGGCCGTTTATACTACTGACATTGAATCAACAAAAATGACAGAATTATAGAAAAGTGACTGTGATATTTTTATCAGTGGCTAATCCAGGAATTTAAAATAGAGGATTCTCACTGAGACTTTCATAGACAGGTGGAGGTAAGAATATTTATGATTATGGCATTTCTAGATTGAATTGACAGGCGGACCCCCTGAACCTCACTGCTTTTTTTGTTATTGTTCTTGTTACCAGAACTTTACAATAATCAAGTGAGTGAGCGGTCACTCTTGTTTTATAATATTACCTTTCTTACAAAAATCAATAATAATCTCTTTCGTTTTTGTAACATTAAGCACAAGCAAATTTGTTGGCTGTAGGCTGTCAAATTAAAACAGTATTTTTGGTTGATTACCACCTTCATTTGTCTTTCATATTTAAACCTGTCCCTTCCAAGGGCAATCATCTCCAGATATTTTTTGACCATGGGTCATTATGACCAAGTTTATATTCGCATTTCAAAATTCACAAATTGAATGTACAGTTCAAATTAGTATACAATAAGGCAAACCCAACCATAATATTGTTCAACATTTTATTCATCAATACCAAATGTGGAACATAAAAACCTACAGATTATTATGCAAAGGACTGAGTTGACATTAAATTTTCATAAATCACAAAGATGATATTTACAACATAAACATGAGCAACACTACATTTCAGATCTCATAATAAATTACAAACTTTTTTACAGAAAATATCCTAATAAACAGTTCAAAAAATTTATAGCATGCAAGATGTGTAATGACTAAAATCGAGGATTAAATTTATTTTGTATTTGCCTGTTATTTTCATGAAATGCTATATAGTAAATAGATAAAAAAAGAGGGAAAAAAATTAATAGTTTGACATAACTGACTGCTATGTGATATGCGAATAATATATTTTACATGTTAATCTATATGAGTTATTCAATTACATCATAACAAGACAAAAATTGTAATGCGCCTTACTCCACTAATCAACTGTCAACTGCATTTAATGCCCAGAATCTCAAAGCATGAACAATAATAACTAGTGCAACATAAGACAACAAATTACCAGCGGAATAGAATTTAAACAATCATGGCAAGTGTGAATAATGACATCTCCTTAAATAAGCTTTAGCTGTAATAAAAAAGGATATTTCCCAGGATTGATGGTGTCACTGTAGAATTTATTCTAATGCACCAACTTCTGTTCGTTTAATTTTGGTTGAATTGTTTCATCTTGTGGTTGGATGAAAACAATACTACCAATAGTGAATCTTCATTTTATTTTAGTGTATGGAATAATATTTTTTTTTGCTGAAGTTTTACCCGTCTTCTTTTATGGAAGTGACTTTCAGGGAACAACTAACAATTTAAACGACTTACATATTATTCAACGAATTCACTTTAGACTTTTTCCAATTTATTTTAGATATATCAGAAAGACATTATTCTGTTATAGGCGAACTTGTAACATTTCCATTATCTGTTTATTGTTACATCAATGTTACCAAATTGTGGTTACATTTATTGCCATTGATCAGTCAGGACCTACATGTAAACTCCACCCCCCTCCCCCCAAACACAAAAAAGAAAAAAAATCAATCTAAGTTATTATAGTCACATTTGTGCATAATATACATGTATACGTGCAACAATTTCCATTTTGTACAATTAATTACAATAACAATATAACAATAAAAAACCTCGAATTAAGCCCAGTGGGCTTAATCTCGAGAAGAAGACCATCTCATAATCAAATTGAAGACCCTTCTACAAAATTTAGCCTCAAGAACCACGACCTGAAAATATCTAAAATCTGCGTCTAATACCCGATTCACACGTACAAAAATCTTACCAAATGTAACAAAATGTAACCAAAAGTAACATTTTACGGCACGTGTGAAAGTACCTCCGTGTAATATCCTTGTAAAATCTCGGAACGTCTCGGTAATC